ACCACGTTGACAACAATTTGTAGGTTAAAGTAGCTTGACCTCTGACCGGGTCATGACCTGCGCCATGGACATCGAGTCGAAACCGCGTGGATTGGGCACACCGACGTCGACTGCAATTAGCCGAAAGTGATGGGCGTAGGCAGCATTAGCCGTATTGAATCGGGCTGACAGAATGGCGATGTGCACGAAGGGCGTTGCGCAAGCGAACGGCGCCGTGCTCAGTGCTCAGCTCAGTGCCGGTCTGCGATACCGACGCTTGCGCTGGGATCGTCTCACTCGCGGCTTTTTGTGTTGAGCGGGTGAGCACACGGCTGTGGCCGGACCGGAGCTCGAGAGGGGGAGGGGGAGGGGGGGGGGGGGGGCAGCTGTCATGCTGGCCGGGCCGGATCGGACGGATGGACAGGGGATGAACAGCCAGAGGACCGACAGACACTATACGGTCGGGCAGGAGGCCGACAGGCGGAAGACGGACGGAAGACCGACAGAGGACGAACAGACAGAAGACAGACAGAGGACGGCCACACACAGGACGGACCGACAGAGGACAGACAGAGGACGGCTAGACGAAGGGCGGACCGACGGAGGACGGACAGACAGAGAACAGGGAGACAGAGAACGGAAAGACAGAGAGGGCGGACGGACAGAGGACAGACAGACAGAGAACAGACAGACAGAGGACAGACAGACAGACGACAGACAGACGACAGGGAGACAGCGAATGGAAAGACAGAGAGGACGGACAGACAGAGGACAGACAGACAGAGGACAGGGAGACAGAGAACGGAAAGACGGAGAGGACGGACAGACAGAGGACAGACAAACAGAGGACAGACAGGCAGAGGACAGACAGACAGAGGACTTCTGTCATTTTTAGCGTGCCACTCGACACTGGGGTTGTTACCGGTTGCGGGGCGAGAATAACGAGGCAGGGGATGTCATTACACGAGGCCTGGATGGGATAGGCGAATCATGCGGCGGGAGTTCATGCGCACTGTGTGCAGTGGCAAACCCCTAATGGTAGCTGAAGCAGGTGCGCCTATGCAAGTACGAAATGGCGCAACAGTGTTTCACAAATGGAAGCCATCACATGATAGCCTTATGAAATAAAAAGGAAACTAAGGCGTTCATCAATTTAAACCGCAACATCCACATAGTTCCATGATTCATCGAGGCGAATGTGAGCCGTGGAATTGTGCTCGGGTTTCCAAGATGATACATACCCCATTAGGCATAACGCATTGGTGTGGGAACGTTTCAGGAAGTGTGTGTGTGGGGAATGCAAGTTGTAAACTCTGTATTTGCATGCATTGCCCCACAGCTGCATGGCTAATACTGAGCTTTCTGTAAAAATGGAACATAATGACCGATCGTCTGCTCTAACCGGCTCAATTTTTACGCTCACGCTATTACCTTTTTCGAGGATGGCAATTCAAGGCATTGAATTTCCGAGGGCGTTTCCTAATTATACTTTTTCTAGTACGAGCAGAGGATTATGACACAAAACAGCAGTATTTTCAGCCGCGAGAAACCACGAACACCGGAAATGTTACGATTTTTTTCGTTTGATCTTTCGCCATAACGCCATGATACCCTCACACCTGCGTGGTATGTCGTTTGCGCAGTTTTTCGCATACTCCTTCGGTGTCGGTGATCCAATTTTGGTAAGTATATTTCGGAGCATTCAGCTGCTTCTGAAGACTTTTGTGTTATTAGAAAGCAATTTCTGACCAAGTTAAGACCAATCGGGGCTTCCGACACTGCGAAAAATTACCATTATCCAGGAGATGAATAATACATCGTTTTAACACTAAAACATAGACCTTCCCAGCTCGCTCAGATCATGAAGCCCTAGATCGTTGTCCCTGGTTTAAAATCCGGTAGTTTCAATGAAAAAATGTGGACTGTGTTGTTGAAATGTCTGAAAGACAAACATGAGGGATTTTGAACACAAAACACAAGGCACAAACACATAAATTTTGAATTCCCTTCTGGTATTCATTTCGGTAAGTCATGTTGCCGAAATATCAACGCATCCGTATCTCCCTTCACTTGGTTTTTCTCGGAGGAATAACGTTATTGCCATTGTATTATCTATGTGCATAATGTTCTCGCAAATGCACAGCTTGCGTTATCATCCAGTCCTTCTCAGGACTCCTCAGGAAGACCCAGGGATTCTCAGGACACCTGACGGCGGCCAGGGAGTTAACACGCGCTCGGGTGGGGGTCAAATTGACCCCCCGAAGGTTTTTCTAGGAATGGCTTGCGAACGGCGAGACGTAGCCGCGCCAAATGATGCATAGCTCTAGACAATAGCAGATCGTTTGACATAAAAAATTAGATGCACCTTGTAACGTCGCTGACCTATGGCAGGTCAAAGTCAGGCCATGGTTTCATCGAACGCAATTTCTAGGAATCGTTCAATCTGATACAACAATAGTGTGTGACGAAGCCATGCATCTCTGAGATGCTTTCTTAGCCACCACAAATATTGAATGAGCAAATTACATGGACCTAAGGTCAGGTATGAAGGTCAAACCAAGGTCAAAATCAACCTGATTTCTTACTCTAGGGCTTGCTGTATGGGATAGATTCTGGTGTTCATTTCGAATTTATTTGCAGCAAGAACCATATTATGCATCTTCCATTGACTTCTTAGAGGTCAGAACAGGCTATTGACCTATGATGACCCGGGTCGACATTTTGTGTTAGGAACATATCGCCTAGCGTAATCTTTGTCGCTTATTCAAATGTCAGACTCAGAACAATCTTGCATGATTTTGGTCACCATGACCTTCAAAACGCCAAACAAGGTTACTGGCCTCCAATGGGATTGTAACATTTTGCTTAGAAACAGTTGCCTAGGTTCTGGGGGCACTTCGGAGACCAACCTGGAATTTGACCTTGTTTGACCTTATTTGACCTAAAGGTCATGACCTAGGAAGCTCAAACTTTAACCTAAGTGATTTTACGTACAGGTCAAGACACCCTGTAAATTTGGTATCTCTACCTTTCTTAGTTCCCGAGATCTCAAGGATGGGTCAAATTGGCCCCACCAGAGAGAAGAGTATTTGGCCGGCCACCCGGGCGCGTGTTAAGCAGCCGAAACGCTGCGGAGATACTAACACACCAGAACAGAACAAAAGTTGCAAAACTATTCCATCTTTTACACGAACGCTTTGTCTCAATTTTTCTGAAACAAGAGCATTTTCGTTTTTTCTTCTAGCGGTAAATCACAGGATTGCAAAAAGGGATTTAAAAAAATGTTGCCGTCTTTGCCCTTGACGTTGGGCTGGGTATTCTCGACATTGTCGCCGAGTTTGACAGGTTGTGATTGACTCTGGAATGTTACCAGGGCTTGGAGGTACTGGAGACACTGGAAACACTGGAGACAGTTGTAGAGGCGAGATAATCCTGCCAACCAGAAGGAAATATTATTTCTACTCTCTTTGGGTCATTTACTCTGTACTGCTTAGTCACGCTGTTTGGTACTCTTTGTTTACTGTTGGCCAGTTTACCGTTTGGTTTCAGTGTGGTGGCGAGGAGAAACAGTCATCCCTGTCGGTCAGATTTTGGACGATGGTGATGGCTATGGTCAGATGGTGCTGGTCCACGTAGCAAATATCTCGGCGTGTGGCTTACGTGCGCTAGTTTTGTGCAGATTCATTAGGAGTATTTGTGTTCTTGTGATAAAGGAGTTAGACGATTTTTCGTTTGGTTTGTTTATAAACGAACCATACCACCTGCTAAATCCATGGTCAGAATTGCAGGCACGGGATCTTGACGACCACGAAGTATCAACGAAAATATAACCACGCGATGTTTACATTCAGTGCCTCCAGTGCCTCCAGTGTCTCCTGCGACTCAGTTTTGCCCGTCGGATGCCAGAACCATGCTGAATTCGTGGTCAGGATCGTATGCACGGGAACTTAACGACCGTGGCCATCGAGCAAAGGACGACTGTTTTTACCAGGACTTGGTTAAGGTGACGTGCTGGCAGCATGCACATCTCGCATGTACTCGCTCAGGTGTGTGTCAATGTCTGCTGGGTTATGCTACCGTGAGTGATCAGGAACGACACTGCATTCTTTCCCTCATGCTGAAGACAGCTGGAGGCGTTCAGGCTGCTCTTTCGCATGGCGACGTCGCTCCGAAGTCGCTGGCGGGACGTACTCGGATGAATGTGCTCCACAAGAGGCTGCGGGCTTTGGTTCACCGGTATTCCCGGCTGACGTCACTAGCGTTGGGCCGACTGCGCCCCGGTTTTGTCCGTCGGATGCCCAGTGGGTGACAGCGCCCAAAGAAAGAGGCTCGAGACCGCGCCTGTGTTGTGATCACATTACCGGACTCTTCCTGCAGCGAACGACAATACCGGGTTCGCCTCTTCCACATGAGAGGTTAGGGTATTGCGCAGCGTGGACCTGGCCAGTAACTCGCGCGGCAAAAGTTCTTGCTCACTGTACTGTATTAGCACAGACATCAACGACATTAAGATTAACTGATAAACGTAAAGACAGAGGCGAAAGTGTTCGGTTACCAGACACATAGCTAATATGCCATCTTGTTGTGTACACAACGATGATCAGCCCCAATTAGCAAAGTCAGGACATTTTGGAGCCTTAATCCTCCCAAGCATTATTAATTATACAACCACGCGGTGATTTACATTCAGCGGTGATCCGACAGACTCGTGAAAACTTACTGGCGGGGACTGTGAAATCATGCTCTTTCAGTTTCTCCAGCGCGACAACAGTCCATCTTCAGATCCTCCCAGCTCGCATGTCCTGGCTCGTTTCCACTTCAGTCATCTGGTTACATACGGCGGGATAATGCACACATGTGTACGTGAGCGCTGGTGTTTGCGTATGTTTTGAAACCTGCGGCAAAATGGCTTCGCCAACGAGCTGGTGCTGCTACGACGGTGATGCCACAGATTCTTCCTCGTACCGTGCGCTAGCCGTTCCCGCCTGTGGTTATCTGCAGCATACCCTGGGTAAGTAGGCTTACCACACGTAAGCCTGCTTCCCTGGCAGTCACGGCACACTCACGTGGGGCATCGGCAGACTTGGCGGCTTCGGTTCAGTCGGGATGCTCTCAGGAAGAACGGAGTTCCGTCCTAGACCCCGGAGATGAAACACGTTCACAACATGCGCCCTCGGCACCCTGTCGGCGTCAGGGGACTTCTGCGCAGTAAGACGTTTTCCGCAGAGAATCGGGCAGAGCGTGCGCTTGTACTCGTCCATTACCTTCGGGCAGAGGATGGTCAGAACCCAGCCCTCGGTAGCCATGCTCAAGAGCCGGAGGCTGGATGTGGTCTTGTGCAAGGTTGGTATTTCCGCTAGCCCCAATGCCTGAGTCAGATTCGCTACGACGTTCGGAAGTATGCAGATGAGAAACATCAGCGTTAGAACTGCGATGGCATAGTAGCCCTGCAGCCGGAAGAGCTTCCGTGTTGTCTGGTCCTGTACACTTACCCGTTCTTGACTAATTCTTCTTTCCTGACGCCAGGCCACGAAGGCGACGAACACGTTGATACACAAGCAGGGCAGGTAGGTTGTAAGAACGAACAGGGAAATGGTTATTCGGAAGGTGGGTGGAATAGACTCCCAGTGGTCGCACACGCCGTCGTCGTCCGCCCCGAATGCCCTGTGGAGTGCCATCCCAAAGATCCAGAGAAGCGCCGCGACGAGCCAGGAGGCGGCGAGCAGCAGCCGCCGCTGCCGGTCGGTGATGATGTCGAAGTAGCGCAGGCCGTGCACGACCGTGACGTACCTCTCCAGACTCAGTGCCAGCAGCGCGACGACGGTGGATGCGCCGACAGCCGACCTCAAGAACAGTAGCGTCGCGCACGCCCAGTCGGGTGGCGACATCTGCAGCAGCTTCAGCGTACCCAGCAGGGCCGAGGTGACGCCCACCAGCGCCTGGGCGGAGGCCATGCTGGCCAGCAGTCGGTACATGGTCGACTCGCGGAGCTGGCGCCGCCGCAGGATGGCCACCACAGGCACCGCTGAGTTGACGGCCACGACGAGGCCGATGGTGACTTCCAACGTGGCCGACATCCTGAGGAGTGGCGCGTGGACGTCCGAGTGATGCCGCCGGTCCGCCGGCTCGCCAGCTCGGTTATCCCAGTCAGCTCGTCGCTGGGGCAACGATGCATCGACATCGACGCACATCTGTCAGCTCTGCCCCGAAGGATCTCGTGCGCGGAATACTGATTAATGTGCTGAGATTGGATGTGATCGGCTGCGAGTACCTACGTTAAGGCAGTGACCAATCAGATACCGTTTCGAAATCGGATCTTCCCAACAGGATTCATCAGGAAACAAGATACGAGGTTGTGCGTCATGCTAAATGCCGCTCACGGTGGTTAGGCACAGGGCGTATAGTAATCAGGTGACATTTCGAGATCAGATTTATTCACAACAATATTCGAAGGGGCAGGATATATGGTTGTGCGCCGTGCCAAAGGCCACTCGGCATTAGTTACTTACAGTATATGACCAGGGCGAGGGATTTGTCCTCGCGCCCTCTCATAGCCGAATGAGAGCATGGTCATATACAATGGAGTGGTCTGCTGCTCAATGGAGCTGAAGATGTATACTGTCGCTCATCAGATCAGCGTCCGTACAGAAAAAATGCAGCGAAAGAGGTTCATGGTCGTCCCCCTTGTTAGGTCTAAGAGGTCGTCACGACGTGTCGAATGCTCGGTGACTGGACAATAAGAGCACCGGATGAGAACGTGGAGGGGCACTTCTGACCAAAGGATATCGCTTTGGAGGGTCCTGGGTCCTTCAGGGTAGGAGAGCAAATGATCCCGGACTTCGCTGGTATCCAAAAGAGCATATATGCTGAAGCTATGCGGATAATAACAATATTGATCGGCTTGGGGGGGGGGGGGGGCAAAATGACAGGCAGAAAGGGGGCTAAATCAAATGAAAAGTTTCACATTTAAGACATTAAAGCAAGCACCATATATGATGGAATAAACTCACTTAAACTATTCCTTTACTTTTAAGTGAAAAAGACTGCTTTAGACTGCACAATTTCTCTATTTGGTAGACATGCTCTTCACAACGCCATTGTGTCACTGTGTCATCGTACCTTACACGACCTTGATGGAAAGTCGATTGACAGCCGTTGAATCTGGAAATCGTTCTCACGAGCGCCAGCTATTAACGACTCGCAATTTCTGTCCGATCGCCACGTGGAAAATGGAATGGCAGAATTTGAATGACATTACTATGACGCCATGCATGTCTGGATGACCTTAAAAGAGCATGCACGATGTAGTCTGCACATCTCTGCGGACGTGGAGCTCAGAAGCTAAAGGGTTTAATGTCTTAAAAAGTAGGGCTTTTAACTAAACTGAATGATGTACTAATTTAATTTATTTTACTTAAATCTGCATATTATATATATATATATATGTATATATATAATATTATATATATATATATATATATATATATATATATATGCGTTTAATATTATTTATATTTAATATAATTTAACTAAACGGAGTAACTAAACTGAAATCAAGGTGACTATTTCAGTCCAAAACCCATACAGATGTAGAGCACCCCTTTTAAGGAGGCCGGGTACCGCGTATTCTCATGCGGCAGGCAACGACATTTAGAGATCAATCCCAGGTCTCCACTGACGGAGGCAGGTGCAAGAGGAACGATGAGATGTGAGGTCATTAGGGTTAGAGAAGTCACGAGGAGACCCTCTCAAGTCCTTGAGGGACTCCGCAGGAAGTACTCCGCATATTTCGGATTGCGTCCAAATGGCCCCTAAAGCTGAGATCACAAAGTAAAATGAATGGCCGTCCATTATACCAGGGGCCCCACAAACGACGGTCGAACGCGCTGAATTTTAGAGGGTTGACCCTCAGAGACGCCTCCAGTGTTCCAAGCGCCCACCTCAAAGGGGCTATCCTTGGTGAAGGAAATTGCGGAGTACCTTCGAGACAAGCCATCTTTCGGGTTCAAAAGGACCCATAGTGTCAATACCTAGAACGGCCTTCACTTTGAGGCCCGGATTTTGGACTCACCGTGCACGGAACGGGCCTGATAGGGCCCATTAGATAAGGGGCCTTTTAGCGAAATGAGACTCAATAAGGTCCAAGGCCCCTAGGGGTCTACTTCATCCTGGAAAGCTGGGGTCCATCTCAGGACCACCGCTGATATGGCGGATGAAATGGACGCGTGATTGGGTGATCGTTCCCTTGAGGCCCGAGAGGAGCCTCAGGGAAGTCCTCGCTGACCCCAGAGAAGCCTCCCAGGAAATGACACCCTTTTCAGGTTGTACCTCAAGTGTTTTTTTCGAGTGTTCTTATGCTCTCATTCTGAAGTCACGCAAAAGATAGTCCTGCGATACTTGAGGGGCCCCAAATGCGGAGCATCCAGGGCCCTTACTTAAAGTGGCTAGGTATACTGTCTTTTCGCAGAGGTGGCATTCGAGCTAGTGCTTCTGAAAATGGCCCATCTTATAGAGAGCTTTCCTGGTTTGATTGGGCGGGGGGGGGGGGGGAAGGCAATAAGGCTGAGGGCTTGCCATTGTGTCAGGATCTCTTTGGTACGAAATATATCCTAAGATCAAGGCCTAAAGCAAGATTTCTTGTGGAGTGGGAAATCTTGGGTCTCATGGACCGGGATGACCCCTATGCAGGGCGCTGGAGTAGAAAGATCCTCCTGAGGCAACCTATCTCTTAAACGGGTCCACCCCCAAAGAGACCCATCCTGGGATCCAAGGTGGGCCTTTCCCATGCCCTAAGATACAAAATGGCTCTTTCCAGGCCCACGGGAGCCAAGGCTGATAAAAGGCTGACGGAGGCCGATGAAAAGAGAGTGATAGGGTGACCGCCGCATTCAGATCTCAGGAGGCACCCAAGCCCCCCCCCCCCGCCGTGCCCGAAGGGTCTTTTTCGATGAAAAAACGTCTCTGGCAGACAACATGGCCAAAGGTGAGGGGGGCAATAGGACTCAAATTGGGTAAAAATTGATCCTCCTTGAGACGCAGCACGGTAAAAAGACAACTAATGTCAGAAGACGTACGGAAAACATTGGAATCCATTTCATTCCATGATGTTAACCAGGAACATGTCGGGTCAGATAATTTTCAAGCGTATTTTGGAGCGAGCAGATTTTATAGTAACACGAAATCGCACGGCTTTGTGAGAAAGTCATTTACTTCTGGGTATCCAACGGTACATCTTTTACAGCATCTGTAAACCTCACTTTGATCATTAAAAACCAATGATATCGAGTAGCAAAGCAACACACAAAACGGCAAAACAGGTGTCCGCACGGCTTACGGCATCCACATGAAAAGACACGAGGCGTCATCTTGTGAAGAGCGTGTTATTTTAAAGATCAACGTGGAATTAACAGGAATTTGAGCCACTGCCATCATTTCAAGCTTTGCAGCGAAGGCTTAAAGGGAGTGCTCCGCAATTATATGGGGTTTTGAACTAAAATATCTATTTTGAAGACCTTTTAGGGCAGCTTACAACCCATCGGACCTAAACTCTTTCAAGTCCTGTCGTTCCATAAGCCAAGCTGTGATCAAGGCCGAGAAAAATATAATGATCAGGTCATGCATGTCTGGCGTTCGTGAGCACGATTGCCACATCTAACGGCCGTCAATTGGCTCTCAATCAATTTTGTGCAAGGTATGGTGACGCAATGCAAATATGACACATCGAGGAGCATATTTACTAAACAGAGAGGTGGTGTTGTCGAGAACAGTCTTTTCTAATTAAAATAAGCCAATGGTTATAAGTGAGCTTGATCCATCATTTCCAATACTTGCTTCAATAGCTTCAAATATATCTCTACCTTTCCACAATGCTCGACAAGGTCTGTCCTGCCTCCTGACGTCACCTGACCTATGGCGCGGTCGCTACCACTGGCCGCCATCCCAGCCAGGAACAAACAGTGCGCGTTTAAAGCGAAGAAGGCCCCAAACCAACCGATCTTTCGGAGCCGAGTTCCGTAAAGCTAAGCCCCACCCAACGAGCAGCCAGTGACGTCACTGGTACGTGCGTCATATGCGGTTAGGAAGAATGTCTGGAAGTCCAAATGTAGGCAAAAGAAGAATCTGATTCAATCCATTAAGACATACGCGCGCAGCAGTGGCGCACATGAATATTATTTGATTACACAGCTGATGTCATGTTGTCAAAGACACTATCATCAGTCCCGCCGTCCACATCTGGTCAAGAGCTACCCACTTGCTCGACATGCAAGATCGTCAACAGCGCATCGACCACTGCTATGCGTTGCCATGCAAACAATGGCGATTTTCGGCCAAGTAAGGCACGGGCTTTCGTGCAGTGACATCATAGGTAAACGAGGTGTGTATACCATAGGTCGATTGATACACATGCCTGGTTTGCCTACCTTCTGCTATTGTTTCCATAAAGGCATTTTGCCGAAATACCAATCCGCCTTTATCTCCATTTTCCTGGTTTTCTACGAGGAAAAAGGGTATTACTACAGTATTATCTTTAAGAACAATGTTCCTCGCAAATCCACTGAACGACTTAGGCAAAATCGTTCTGGATATTTGATGGAGTACGGAGCAAGAATAGTCTTCTGGTGTAGAAGTGCGTAGCTACTCAATGCCATGTGTACCTAGATTCGAATTCAGATAGTCAGGAGATATTACCTCTACGCTCAAATTGTACTTTTTCCGGTATGAAACCGACCACAGGATCATCCCATTCGCCCAGTTGCAAAACGGAAACTTGACATAATTATAACAGCGTGAAGAGAAAATCGCTAGCCAAAAGAAGGGTAAAGGAAGTGCCAGGAGTAAAACCAGCAACGCCTTACAAATTGGCTTTGGTTTTTACAGCAGACCTCATCGCATAAAGGGCATTATTTTTCGGTAATAAAACCAAAACTTGCCGTTCAGTCTAAAAAAGTGAAACTCCGACCTTTCCGGTAGGATCAAAGCCACCATCTGCAACGCAGCGGGGAACGTGGAAGCTTTCCCAGGACGGAGGACTGAGCTGAGGCCGGAGCCCGGCCGGCGCCGCGGCGCCTCCACGGGC